ATATATATATATAATTTTTCTCTTTGCCTATTAAAGTAATAGCTTTGGAAAGACATCTGGATTTATGTGCCCATAGCAGCATCTTTAGCAATTTAGTAGAAATAGTAAGCTCCCACCTATCGGAAATATAAAACAAATACTAAAAGGCCAAACCATTTAAGCAGACTGGGGATTGTAGGCAAAGGAAAGTGAATACTTGGAAAAAATTTAATGTTAAGCCTGAGATTTAAATAAGTATGTTTAGTATTAGTGGAGAAGTGCAATGGAATAATAACTATAATTTATGTATCATGTCGAGTTTACAAAGTACTTTCACATATATCATCTCATTCATTCTCAAAATAGTCCTACAGTGGTTATTACCATTATCATTCCCATTTTACAAATGAGGAAATTAAGATGCAAGGAACAGGCATGTAAATGGTGGGGCTGTGACTCATGCCTCCCTCTTCTGACTGTGCGGCTCCCTCAGGAATCTCAAATGAAGAAACCACTTGTCAAAGGGGGCTATTAAGTTACCCAGCAGAAAATTCAGGATTTATGGGAATATTCTTTATCTTCATTTACCAGCACATTAGGACTGGGTCATGTGTGGTTATTAAGCATTTGAAATGTGATTGTATGATGATGAAGTGAATTCTTTTATTTATTTCATTTTAAGAACAGTAATTCAGTAACTCTATAAAATAATAACATTGCAAAGAATGGGAGTTCTACAGCACTTCTTTGTGCTCATGGAGAAACTGCTCACAGAAGAGAGGGATATGCATAGTCTAAAATCAGGAAAGATATGTATCAACAGTGTTTCCTGTCCCCAAACTTATTGAGTCTGTGCTTTGAGCAAGTCTGAGAAGTTGGAGTGCCTGACAAAGACTGCAGCACTGCATCAGAATTTGAGGAAAATTTATTAACAACCTGAGAGACGCAGATGATCTAACCTTGCCTTCAGGCAGCAAAGAAGACTTGAAACTCTTATGAAGTCCAAAGCCTTTGGCTGTCAGTATAGATTACACCTCAATGTCAAGAAAACTAACATCTTCACAACTTGACCAATAAACAACATCATGGCAAATGTGGATAAAAAAGATTGAAGTTGTCAAAGATTTCATTTTACCTGGATCCTCAATCAATGTCTATGAAAATAGCAGTAAGAAATAAAACCAGAAGGATCATAAGAGACAAAATGAGATAAAATTTAGAAAGTGCAGCATATGACATAGATTCGCAAATAGAGCCAGAAATGCACAACCAGAAGAGGACAAATTTGATAAATGGAACCTTCTAAAGATTAAGGTTTTGGGTGCATAAAAATATTTTTCCAACAGGGTGAAAAGAAAACTTATAGACTGGGAAAAAACATTTGGCAATGACATTTCAGACAAGAGTTTCAAAATTAAAGTTCACAGACCAGTACAAGGGCCTCCACGAGAAAAGATCAATAACCCAATTACAAATCACAACCATGAGATACCATCTCAACCCAGTAGCAGTACCAAAGTTTAACAGGACAGCAAGTAATAGATGCTGGTGAGGAGATGGGGAGATTGGCACTCACATGCACAGCTGGAGGGATTGTAAAATGGTACAATCACTCTGGAACGCAGTTTGACATTTATGTTCCCTTTGCACATAGAAGTCCCATATGATCCAGCTACTCCACTGCTAGAAATATACCCCAAAGAAATGAAAACTAGGACACTGACAGCAATCTGTTCATAGCAGCATTATTCACAAGAGCAAGAAATTGTGGTCAGCAAAAAGGAGGAAGATTTCAATGAGATGGGTTGAACACAATGGTGACAACAAATGGCTCAAGCAGAGAGATGGTTGTGAGGATGTCAGAGAACCAAGCAGTGTTTCCTTCTGTTGTACATGTAACAACAGCAGCTAATGTATTTATTACTGGGCAAATGTAGGTAAAGCAGCGCTTCTCCAAGTGAAGTCCCAGGATAATAGCATAGCATAGTACTGAACTTACTAAAAATGCAAAACCTTGGGTCCTTGGAGCTACCAAATCAGAAATTCTGATTAGTAGGGTCTACTAATAAGCTTTTGAAAAATCATACAAGCAAAGTTTAGGAATCACTGCTTAACAAAAAGTGGTAAATTTAGAGAAAAAGATCAGATAGAGATTTAAATAGGTAAGAGGCAAGGTAAGGAAAGCACAAATGAACCATGGAATAATTGCAGATGGAGGATCTCTGTGGAAGATGCAAAAAGCTAATCAGAAAAGAAATGGCTTTTGCATCATTTCAGAGAACTGTTATTTAGACTAGAGCCATTGCCAATGGCTGTTTTGCTTGCTTGGAAAGCCTTTGTGTGATTCCGCCCATGGCATATAAGAACTTTACAAGGATTGTAAGGTGAAAGCAGAAGACCCTCACAGAGGGAGTGGCCATGATTTGACCTTTGGAACCTTGAATTTTAACCTTAGGCTGGGACTGCAGAATTCCAGTATAACCAGAGGCATAAACCACCAATTCTGTTCTGCAATAACCATATCCCTGTCACCACTATCACCACGACATCCGACGCTACATCAGTCGAAAATAAAAAATTTTTAAAAGTTAAGCCTCACTGCATTGGAGGATTAATGTGTGCTTGGAGACAAGTTGCACAAAGTTATTAAGAGTCCATTATTCCTAGCAATATCCCCCATATTACATGATTCTTACATTGAAAAACTAGATCCTTAGAGAATTTAAGAAGTTCATGCTGCTCAGAAGGTCACACTCAGTGGTAGCTCTTAAGAATCAATCCATTAGGGTTTCTTTAAGTTCTTAACGTATTTAATCAGAGCGCTTTTTGAACTCCAAGAATAATTTTGTTGAGCTTACCCAGCCAGCTATAAATTAAGCAACCACACCTCCCAGAGACTTTTAGGATGCTTTCCCATTGTGTCAGACCCCAAGTGTGCAATAGCTAAACTACTCTGTTTTTTAAATACGGAGAACTATAACACTCTATGGCCCAGACTTCTCCAAAGATATCTTTGCTTGTTGAAAGTAGCCGAAGTAAACTTTGTGATTTGTTTTTCTCCAGTTATGCTGTGGGTTTCAAAATAGACTCCACTGACGTTGGATTGTCATATTTTAATTATTAATTAATTGTATGACTCCATTATTACATAATAAATACATTCTACTGTATTATCTTTTGGGTTCTCTTATATCTCTTTACAGTTTGATTATAAATCTAAACTTATCTTTTATTTTCTTTGCTGTCTTGAGGTGAATCTGCCATAACCCATAAAAAGTTTCCTCTTCGTTTTTAAAATCAGCATTGCATTTAGAGGGGAAACAATTTGTCTTTAATTTCGCAAGCAACATGTCAAAGCTAAGTATAACATAGTTAAGGCAAAAAGGAATAAGAAAATATTATATTCTATAGTACATGAATAAATCAGATAAATTAAGGGGGCTTTATTTTCACTTGCTGAAGCTGAACTTAACTAGGAAAAATGTATGTGTTTTCTTTCCATCTCTACTGCCTCGTCCATTTCCTCCCTCCTTCCTCCCCCTTCTCCTCTCAACCCCCAGCCCCCAATCCTTTCTCCTTTGGTGTGTGGCCACAGACAGAAATTTATGGCAGGGGCCAACCTCTTTTACACTCCACACAAAGCTTGCTGACTTGAGAGAGTTTGTCCGCTCTCTCCCAGAAAAAACACCTGCAGTACGCTCCCCAAGAAACCTGGAGAGATGGGAGATTAATGTGGCTGTAATAGCCGGGCAGTGTTTTTGGTATTATGCCCTCTCCCCAGGTAGGTGGGTCTTTTCCGAGATGATACCAATTATTTATTGCTGAAACATCTGTTGATAACTGCAGCTGCCCTTGTGAAACAAAGCATATCACAGGGTCACAGGCTATGAGGACCTAAAATCTTACCTCATGCTAGTTTTAGACTATTCAGAATACCCTCAAGTCCATGGGTTACCATCATCTTTAATGTCTCATCGTGCCGTAGAAAATACTTTGTAAACACTGCACTGCCCTGCAGGCTTTGAAGTATTATTTCATCTTCATTGGTAATTTATATTCCAGTGCCATTGTACTATGGGAAAAAGAGGGGGAACCTTTTTTGTTTTCCATCTAATTGTATATC